TTAACTACCACACCACCCCAAACAGGCATGGATAATGGGATTTACGAAACACCACAGAATGGAGGACAATGGCTAGAAGGGCCACATCAAGCAATTCACTGCAGGGTGTATCTCCATAGAGTAGGTGGGTGCATCCCCCTGGGTTGGGTGTTCTGCATGTAAGTCTTTCTGCTGCTGGGCTAAGAGCCAATCCTTGGGAGTGAGTCCTATCCCAGGCCTGAAGGGTGTTCTAGAGCCATAGTCTTGGGGGTCCCACCAGACTCCATCCAACCAGTAATTCTGGTCATTATTTTGTTTTTGAATTTTGTTCCACATTTTCCCTCCCACTCTATCCAGGATCTCCAGTTTTGATCCATTCCCGAGTGGTTGACATTGGTAGCCAGGGACCATTCTCAAGGTCCATCATATCCTTGGACTAATGGTTTCTAAATGCCTTTGATTTTCATCACTCTTCACTTCAGACAAGAGGAGGCCATTAGTTGCATCTTAGTTGGCCTCTCTAAAGCTTTTAAGACCCCAGCAGACTGTTTTAGGATGGAGTATCTACATACTTTATTTGAAATTCTTCTGCATGGGAGATTTGTCTTTTCTCCTTTATTTATTAATTTCTTCAGTCATTTATTTAGATCAACAGGTACTCAAGATTATTTATTTTATACTTTGGGTTATGATTCCATACTACTTTATTTCTTTTCTTGCTCAAATTATTCCAGCTTTGGCTTCTGGGGACCAATATATGCTATATTCAGTTTGTTCCTGCATAGGATGTGTCCCTTTGACATATCTCATCAATGTGGTTTTATTTTGTCTTAGTACTTTCTCACTTTCTGTTAGTACAAATGTTCTGGACACATCTTATATATTTCCTACTCTAGTCCTAGAATCTGCTGTTTCTCCTATAAGCCTTTGTGCCTTTTATTGGAGAATGGTTTTAGAAACCAAGATCTAGGTGTTCTTGTTGCTATTGGGGAATAGTTTCTTTTAGGCCCTCTCAGCTGAGAGTGTATACTAACCTGTGTATATACACACATATGTAAATATTTCTATCTGTAGCCATCTGTATCTATATTAAGCTAAACATGAATTCTTATTGATGTCTCCAACTCTACTCCATTACCACCTGGATCATTCTAGCTTTCTCCTCTGATCTATAAATTTTCACTCCAACAGTAAGAAACCTGGTTCCCATCATCTGTCACCCATTTATTTAATTGTTAAATTCCAGTGTCCATATATAACCATATCAGAATTGTCACCTTCCTAGAAATTTTCTTTTCTTTTTTTGTCAGATTAAACATCTTCAGCTCCTTTCACCATTTTAGGTACCAAACTATCACACTCATTCTCCATCACTTCTGAGTCCATAGTTTTCCTGTATCATTCACTCCATTTTACAAATGAAGAAAATGAACTTTGAAAGGTGAAGAAAATAATGACAGCAAACACATATCTTTAGCACATGCAAGCACTGCTTTAAGTCCCTTACATGTATTAACTCATTTAATATTTACAAAACCCTATGAGGTTTTTTTTTTTTTTTTTTTAATATTATCCCCATGTTACACATGCCATATCCACATAACAACAGCCCCAAATCAAACAACAAAATTGTGGAGCTGGGATTTAAAATCAAGGACTCTGGCCCCAGAGTCCATACCCATGAGCACTATTTTATGCCACACCGTTGCTAGAGGAATCTTTCTGAAACATTGCTTTGCATAAATGACTCCCTGCCTTACAAACTGTCAGTGGTTCACTATTGTCTGTAAGACTGTATTGCCCTTTGGACCAGTTAGCTTAGCATCAAGTACTTCCCAGATCCACAATCCATGCTCTGCTCCATCTAAACGAGCATGAGCAGCAAAGATCCCTGGAACATGCCTAGATACTCTTGCTTCACATAACCTTCCAGCTAAAGCACACACCAAATCCCACCTCTTCCAAGAAGCTCTGAAACTCCCTCTGGGCTGACAGCATTCACAGTGACTTACAATTCCTACTTGATAACACTTATTGTACTTGACTTTTGTTTGGCATTTATTCTGAATTGTGTTTTGTTAATGGACTTTACATGTTTCTGTCCAGTCTCCCCAGTTTATGCTCAATGCCAATTTGTTTCATCCTTGTGTACTGTTGAGTCAATTTTGACTCAGAGTGAGTCAGTCTTGACCTCTTGATAAGGATGTGGTCTTGGGGCAAGGGAAGTGCATAGAGTATGGGCCATGGCCTTGAACCAAATTAATTTGATTGGCTAAAATATGCTATATACAGGATTTGGCTGTCTACTGTATAAACAATGTCGATAATCTGAGCAAATCCTGCAATCTGAAATTTCATTGTGAATTTCAACTTCACATCAAGTTGCTTAGTAGGAATTAAAACCTATAGTCATCATCATCATGTCATGGTTTAATGATGATGATGATGATGATGATGATCTTAGCACATTGTAGCCAATCAAAGTAGTTTGGTTCAAGGCCATGGTCCATACTGTATGCAGTTTCCTTGCAGAAAGACCACTTCCCTGTTAGGAGGTCAAGATTGGCTAGTCTAAATATTCCCATCATTATAGCTCTGTGGAGTGTTTGGCTGATGCTGAGTGATATTAGGTTGAAGTGGTGTGCCTAGATCCTATCCCAATGTGGCCAGTTGCACTGAATTTTACAGAGGTGAGTCTGGGCCCATTTGGGTCTCAGCTTTGTATAAATGTCTTTAGTTCCCTAAAAGAGGGCTGGAAGGAGGACTCCTAATTTCTACTTCAAAGAGGACAACATAGATTCAAATCGTAGCCTGTTGTTCACCAAACTTTAGTCTTTTATTGCCACCTTTATTATTTTTGCCATATCCACATTGTACTCACACTCTATTTTTATTACTTAAATTTTAGTCTCATCCTACATAATAATAGCCACAAAATTGCAGGTTTGGTGCTGTAGTTACAGTTTTTCAAATGGATGCTAAAATAAATTCATAACTATTAAAACACTTTATATACTATACACAATTAACTCATCTACCTCCATGATGTATACACAACATTTCCAGAGACATCCTGCTCTAGTGTTTTGGTCTTCCCTTCCCCACTCTAGATCAGGTTACTGGTATCAGGCTGGGCTCCTATATTCTGATAGGTTCCACTAAGGCCCCTTTGGAGATATTCAAAGGGTGAAAAGAGTTCCTTCAGCATTATCTTACCTTCAGCAAGAGCAGCTCTGTTTTTATCTTTTGCCATGTCTGAGGATTTCATATAAGATTTTGTTTGAATCTTGTTTGAATCTCACATGGAGAAAGAGTGTAAAAGCCATAGGACAAGTCAATTAAGAATTAACCCTGCTGGGAAGTTCTTTCAGGAGTTCATTTATGCTTTCATTCATACTTCTTTGAGATTCTCTTAGCTATTCCTTGCTTTGGAGTCAGGGGAGCTGACCTCATGAGTATCTTTATTAAAATGGAACAAAATAAATATCCATATAACTTGAGGTAAAGCTATGCCAAGCATTATTTCAATTCTCTTGCACTTGATCCAGGTTGAGAGTAAACCTTTGGTTCAAGCCCAGAAGCCACCTTCTAAAGTCAAGAACCTCAGAATGACCCGATTCTTGCATAAGGTAGGAAGTGCTATTTAGTGCCTTTAGTCTAGGAGAGAATAAAGAGTGGGGGGCTGGTCAGGGCAGCTTTTTACAGGCCATTTAGGTCAACTCAACATAACATAATCCATCCACATCATCATGCCTCATCGCCACAGAATTTTAAATGTAGCTATTAATTGATAGTCACACTAACTCTCTTCCTCACCAAAGATAAATACATAAATTTTAAAAAATAATAAATCAATAAAAGCAAGGGTCAGGAACCCAAAAGAGTAATTCAAGTCAATAAAGTAGCATAGAAGAAATGAGAGTTTCTGTTGCAGCAAGGATGATTTACAGGAAGGACTTCCTCATGCTATGGTGGTAAGATATTGGAATGATGGTATAGTGGATAACATTTATGAAACACCCTATATAGATTGCCTCACAAAAGCTCTATGAGGTAGTCCCACTTTTGTATTCATGGTAGATCAGATAATTGAGGCTTAAAAAGAGAGGCTAAGTGACCTATCTAAAGTGCACAGTTAGTAAGTGGTAGAGCAGGGATTAAAATCTAGAGCCCATCTGCTTGACCACTCTGCTGCCCTGGAATCTTCATTTATCTCTAAGAACTTTTAGAATAGGTTCAGGTCCAGATTTGAGTCAGGTTTATCTTTGCTGTGAGGAGGGGGCTGGAAGAAATGACCCCCTGGAGATATCTTCTTGCCTGAGGTTCCTGTAAGTTACACCATTTCTCCTTCTATAGAACACAAACACCAGCATTACATCACTCCCTTTTGTGGACACCAAGGGGAAGAAGAACATGGTCAACTTCCCACACATCTGCAATAAAGTCTTGCTGAAGCCATCCCTGCTGTATCAGGTGAATATGGGGCTATGAAAAGCCTGCTTTAATCCCAGAACCAAATTTAGAAAGGCAATCCAGGATGATGGGGAAAGTACAGTATCAGCTGCAGAGTTGGATTCTAGTTTTGGTCTTACTCTTCACAATGAGTGCACACTTGAGTAAATAAGTCACTGGCCTTCTCTTAGACTTGATTTCTTTATCAGAAAAATGGGATCTTTATTGGGTTGTCTTGAGGACTCATTGAGAAAGGGAGAAATGAAATGTCTGAAATATAAATAGTGGGCATATACCAAATGTTTGTTCTCCCATATGTCTCCTACCTCTTGGTGTGAGGACCAAATGAGATAATATGTGGGGAAATTATCAAAACATGTATTATACACATGTAAGTTCAAGTTCATGTGCCTTTGGGGAAGTCACTTTTTCTATGTGGGAATTGGCCTTCTCAAGAGCAGAGATAAGAAACTATTCCCATCTCTTCCTACAGTGAGATATCACTGGGTTGCCAACTGAATACTGTAATTTACATGGCTCTTCCAGAGAATAGTGTGATCATCAATCTGATATTGCTTTTGGGAGAAAGATTAAGAAAATCCACTGTCTCAATCATACTTTTCTCCCTAGATAGGAAAAGGGAAAAGACCTGGCTGGATGTAGGTGTTTATGGTCAGAGAAATAGTTTATAACCCTGAGGAGAAGCCTAAATACCCCTTTATTACAAATCTCTTTCCCTGGACAGGAGAAACAAACTCACAGTCAGGTATCAGTTTCTGAGCTCAAGACTTCAGAGCTACCTTCCCATGCCAGTATTAAAACTCAAGATCACAAGCTAAAGGAGAAACCACTAACGAAGCACAAAGTGCCTCTAACAGCAGCAGGTATGGTTTTGGGGCAGTGACTGGGTATAACAGGAATGGGTATGAATAGTTGGAGTTCACAGACTCATAGCCTATTACATTTAAAAAGAAGAGTACCTATCGTGTGCCAACATTATCCCGTGCTCAGAGCATTCTGCCAGTTTTGCCTTTGGTTCTCTCTCCCCTTGTTAAACAACCTCAGTAACTACCCATGAGGAGTTAATTTCAGTTCTGAGCAAGTTCTGCTTTGTACAGAGCACTTTTCTGCCCCCCTACTATCTTGAGATGGAGCCCTGGTAACACAATGGTTAAACACTCAGCTGCTAACTGAAAGACTGATTGGCAGTTCTAACTCACCCAGTGATTCTGAAGGAGAAAGACTTGGTGATCTGCTCCCATAAAGATTACAGCCTTATAGGGCAATTGTACTCTGCTACATGGAGTCACTAAGAGTTGGAACTAGTTCTGTCACTTGGTAACAACAACACTAATCTTTAGGCCCTGGGTCTGTCCTCTGGGCAAAGATCATGTCTTATCCAGCTTACACATGCCTGCCCTTCATATATATGAAGACAGACGTCATGTCTTCCAGAGTCTTTTTTTTCTCCTGGTAGTTCCTTCTTCAATTCTTTAGCAGTTTGTCACATCAAGCAGTGAAGCCCTCCCTCAATCCTGGTTCCTCTCCTCTGAGCACTCTACACAGTGTTGTCTTAGTTACCTGGTGCTACAATGACAAAAGATACCACAAAGTAGGTGCCTTTAAAGAACAGAAATTTATTTTCTCACAGTGCTGGAAGCTAAAGTCCAAATCAGGGCCTCAGCCATGTCAACTCTTTCGTGGGTCTCTCTTCTACTTTCTGGTGATCATTGTCAATCCTTGGCATTTCTTTGCTGCTTATAGATGCACGGGTCTCCATCGTCACATGGTGCCTCCCCCTCTGTGTCTGTGACTATTCTCTTTTTATATGACATCACTCAGAAAGGATTAGGTTTAGTACTCACCTTATCAACAAAAGAAAACTCCCATTTCTTAACAGCATGACTGCAACAATCCATAACACTTGTATTATTTCTGTACTTCTCTGAAAGTGTGAATTTCATCCCCACAGCCCCCAGACCAAAGCGTCAGATCTCTGATGTGATTGGGCCAGTAAAGAATAGAGAAGTACTTCCACCCAAATCTCAATAATAATTATAATTATAATTATAAAAGAATAGAAAAGTACTAACATACATTCCTTATAGTCTGAGATACTCACTGGCTCACCTGCAGACCTGAATGGCAGTGTCTCCCAGGCCTTGAAAGTCACATTGATTTTACCTACCAGCTCCCTGAAAACATTAAAGTTTGCAAACCCTCTCAGGATAGCGTGTCTGTTTGTGTAGCCTCCTACTACATTAACTTTAGTAAACCCCACCTTGTAAACCCCATACTATTGTTGACACTAAATTGACTCTTGAATTTTTTTGCCCATGCTGCTATAAACCATAACTCTGAATTTTGCCTTTCTTTTTGTGCTTTCTTCTTACTTTGTTGAAATAAAATATAAGACTTTAACATTTATCCTTGTTAAATTTTCTTCCTGTGAAATTCAATATGCCTGGTCCTTAGTGAGGAATCCTAGTGGTGCAGTGACTAAGGCATTCAGCTGCTAACAAAAAGGTCAGCAGTTCAAACCCACCAGCTGCTCCATCAAAGAAAGATGAGGCAGTCTGCTTTTGTAAAGATATACAACCTTGGAAACCCAATGGAGGTTGCTATGGGTAGGAATTGACTCGTTGACTCGATGGCAGTGAGTTAGGTTTTTTGGTTGGTTTTTAGTGAACCACATGGTTGCAGAAGGAAAAGACTGGTTCAGGAACCAGAAAGGATGCCATCATCTGCACCCTGGGAAAATCCCCATATCACCTCACTTAACTGACAGCTGCAATGCTTTTGCATTGCAGAGGCCCTAAAGTTTTTTAAGAAACAGCTCTCTTCCTATGAGCAAAGTGAAATCCTGGGCTACACAGAGCTATGGTTCCTGGGACTTGAAGCTGAGAAACTCCACGTGGCTCCAGAGAAATTCAGCAAGACAAGTTTTGATGATGAACATGGCTCCTACATGAAGGTGATGGGGGAGTGGCTTATGGTAACCACAGGGGTCTTGGGGCTTTGGTATAAAAGACAGTCTAGAAAGGAAAAACTTGAGGGGTATTTTATAGAATTTGGTATAAAATGCTGATATAGCTGGAACTAGGAGTCCTGAAGGATTTTAGTAGGTGCTAAACTAAAGGAATATCATGTTTATAAATAGGATAATAGTCACAGATAAAATAAGTTGTTTCATTCTAGTCCCTTCAGAAGGAAGGTTGGGCAATATACTTACATAGTGATACCGCCTCGGAAACCCAAGGAGGGGTCGCTATGAGTCAGGTTTGACTCAACAGCACATAACAACAACAACAACAACAGTCCCTTGACTACTTTCAGTTTTCCAAAGATTGACCCCAACAACTCCTTCTCTTCCTCTTCTGACTGCACCTCAGGGCCTCCCCAGAATTGTGCCACTTCCTAGCCTGAAGGATAAATCTGGGCAGTGATAGGTGTCCTTTTTGCTTGAGGACCACTTTTGAGGACCTCCAGATTATATAATGCTTAGTCCATGGGGCTTGTGGGCTGTCAGGAGTTTCTGCCTCTGGACATTTCCTTGCAACTTCATTAGTTCCTTAGGAGATAGGATAGATCTTTAATGGCTTCATGGAAGAGGAAGATTTTCTCAACACATAGGGCTGTATTTCTCAAGCTTTGCTGTGCACAAGACTCTCCTGGGGATCTTGATAACATATAGATTCTTACCTAGCGGGTCTGGGGTGGGGCCTGACATTCTGCATTTCTAATAAGTTCTTAGGTGATGCCAATGCTGCTGGTCCATGGACCACACTTTGAGAAGCAAGCATTTAGAGTTTTTGCACATAGTTGCTATTGAGAGCCCTGGTTCTCAACCATTTTAAGGTCAAAGATCCATTTGGGAGTCTGGTAAAGCTATAGGTCCTTGCTCCAGACAAGGTACCCTGAACAGACACACAATTTCAGTGGGCAAATAGGTCCTTGGTTATGAATCCTCAGCATAAAATTTTACCTCCAATTCAGATAGACATCCTTAATCTCCTGCCCCCATTTCACCTGGGCCTAGACTCTCTGGGAAATTCCCTAGGGGTGTCAGCACTACCTTTAAGCTAATTCACTGGGACTCAATCCCCAGTCTCAAAAATCTTTGAGAGCTGTGTTTTGGGGGATCATATGTGCTCTCTGCAGGCTGAGGTCTCCATTCTTATTACATTCCAATGCACATACATAAATAAATACATACATAAATACTCAATGCACATAGCCAAAAACCCAAACAAGCAACACAGCTACATTTTCACATTTATTCTGCCATTTATTCAGTACCTCTATATATAGGAGCTCTGGTGGCATAGTGCCTAAGGCACTTGACTGCTAACCAGAAGGCTGGCACTTCAAACCCACCGGCCCCCTCGGAAGGAAGGTTGGACAATCTACTTCTGTAGTGATACCACCTCAGAAACCCAAGGAGGGGTTGCTATGAGTCAGGTCTGACTCGATGGCAAATAACAACAACAAGAATACATTGAAAAATTATCATGAGAGCTCTGGTAGCATAGTGCCTAAGGCACTTGACTGCTAACCAGAAGGCTGGAGGTTCAAACCCACCAGCCATTCCTCAGAAGGAAGGTTGGGCAATCTACTTCTGTAGTGATACCACCTCAAAAACCGAAGGAGGGGGTCGCTATGAGTCGGGTCCGACTCAACGGCACATAACAAGAAGAACAACGATATCATATGCTTGGGCATCTCTGGAAATATAAAAGGAACTATCAAAAATGAGTGAGACAAGGCCCTTGTCCTCAGGTTATCACAACCAGTCCCAAAGATGACATGTGAACAAATAATTATGATACAACCAAACTGGTGCTATGTAGAAGGTATGTAAAAATGCTAGGGAAACACACAAGTACCTTTACCAATAGGTGTGTCATAACCTGTTCCTCATCCTTTCTCCATGCAATCTCCTGGCAGATTTTTACCAGTAGATGAACCCTCTCTTCCATATTCAGTAAAGTTGTATGTGTACATAATCATGGGCATGATTCCTCCTGTGCTCACAGGCCCCCACCAAACAATCACAAACATATCCTGAGGACTTGTACACAAACACTTATCCTTCACCTCTCCCAAATTCATGGATGTAACACTAGGAGTTAGAGATTTATAGAATTGGAAGGCCTTAGGGATCATCTCATCCAGATCCCCAGCTCAGAATGGGCAAGTGGCTTCACAGAGACCACTTAGATAAAGTCTTTTTAATGTACAACTTCTTGTGGCTTAGCATAAATGTCTGCTCCCTGGTTTCCAGCACAAGGAGGGATGTGGGTGTTTCTGGTTCTTGGAAAATATTTCTTATCTTAGGTGAGGAGAGTCTAAATCTGTACTGTTAATACCAGGGTAGGATTAAGTCTGAATAAGACAAAAGGAGAAGCATATCTGGCCAGAAAAGGGAGTTCCTTTCTATGACTGATGGGAACACATCTAGAGTCAGAAATGCAGTTTTCCCAAAACTAGAGTTGTTAACGAATTACGTTCACGAATCATGGAAGATTTTCACCTTATCCAACGCTTTTACTTTACAGGTTCCAATATATGCAGAAAATTAGTGCTGGGGGCTAGAATCTGACTTTCCCAAAGACCATCTAATGTTCTTTGCACTACTTGACATGGGGCAGAGTTTGTGGGACTTTTCCTGGCATGACATGCAATATCTGGGTTATCTGGCATCTGGGCTCCAGCATAATCATAGTGGTAATGTTGAGATGTGGTTGGGAGTTGACCAGTGCCCAGTGCAGTTCAGACAATTTATCCCCAGGAATCAGCCATGAGTTGAAGATGGAATCCAGGGGTCCCATGTCTGGGCCGCACTAGGCCCACAGCTCTGCTCCTCATCCTTGGCCTGACTTCTGCAGGTCCTGCATGACCACATTGCCTATCGCTACGAGGTTCTGGAGATGATTGGGAAAGGGTCCTTTGGACAGGTGGCCAAGTGCTTGGATCACAAAAACAACGAGTTGGTGGCTCTGAAAATCATCAGGAACAAGAAGAGGTGTGGTTTGGTGGATGGCATAGGCAATAGAGGAATGACTGCATGACTTTTGCCCCTTCATAATGCCATCTCCTCCTGACTCTGACTCTTTCTTTGACTTTCCTCTTCCTTTTCCTTTATTTCTCTGACAAAAGAGTCCAAGATGGGGCAAAAAGGAGGCAAGGGCATAGAGTTTCTAGTACTTTCTGCCACCCCCCAGGTAGTCTTGTTGGGATCATGGGGAGGGGCAGAGGAAATGGGCTAACTGCTGCAGTATGACATGACATCTGTGTTTTCTGTCCCTGTTCCTTACCCTCCCTGCCCCTGTCCAATCTCCTCAGATTTCACCACCAGGCCCTGGTGGAGCTGAAGATTTTGGAAGCTCTCAGAAGGAAGGACAAAGACAATACCTGCAATGTGGTGCACATGAAGGACTTTTTCTACTTTCGCAATCACCTCTGTATCACCTTTGAACTCCTGGGGTCAGCTGCTTTCTGTTTTTAATTCATTTTCTTTTGAAAAGGTGCTTAAGTGACAGAATTGAAACTTTGAAGTCAGAACACTAGATTTATTCTGGATGTGAGGATTTAATGACTAGAATGGGCTCAATAGCCACTTAGTTATGTAGAAGACCCAGAAGCAAGAAGGCTGGAACCAAAAGCTGCCCATTTCTTCCCATCTCTCCTCATCCTCAGTCATGCCTGTCACTTGTCAGTATACCCATGCTGTACTGCACAGGTGCTGGGCACTGAACTGGGTGACATAACCAAAACAAGGCCACTGCTCTCAAGAGCTTAACTGAAATATGTTGAAAAAGACTTTGATTTGCTACCATGTCCCCCACTCACTGGCTTCTCAATCCCATGGTGCAGAGTTGACACTCAAAGGAGTAGGCAGCTAGCTGCTCAAAATGGGAAAGACTTTGATTTTGAGAAAACAAGGACCAGAGCAGATATTTTGGTGAGAGATCAGAATATGACTTAAATAGATTAGCATCGCCCAGCAGAATATTAGAACTGAAGGGATGTGCTAATTGGAAGGGTATGCTAATTCAATTGTTTTCCTCTGAAAAGACAGTCAGATACAATTTAAATAAAGCCAAAAACCTAGAATGCATTTAGCAACACAGAATGATCAAGGGTGAGCTCTCAGAAGCCCAATGTGAGCCCTCATTCCTTCAAGGTAACAGCTGGGACCAAGCGACCTGGCTCATGTTACATGGGGCAGGGAGTTATCTACTGTGCCTCAGCCCCCGTCTGCTCACTCTCCTATTCCCTCACCTGTCAGCAACCTGAACTCTTTAAAATAGTCCTTAATGTTTGGCAAGTAGAGGGTTAGTAAGGGCAAGGAAGACCCTCAGTGAGATAGAGTAGCACAATAACTACAGCTGTAGACTCAAACATGCTGACAATTGTCAGGATGATGCAACTCTGCTGCCATGAGTTGGAATTGACTCAGTGGCATTTATCTATCTATCTACCTGCCAGCCGGCCAGCCAGCCAGCCGGCCTGCCTGCCTACCTGCCTACCTACCTAAACGCTAAAAAACCAAACTCACTGCCATCAAGTCGATTCCGACTCATAGTGACTCCCTTTGGGTTTACGAGGTGGTAAATCTTTACGGAAGTGGATTGCCCAGTCTTCCTTCTGCAGAGTGGCTGGTGGGTTTGAACCGCCAACCTTCTGGTTAGCAGTCAAATGCCTTAGGCACTATGCCACTAGAGCTCCTTACCTACCTACCTATCATCTATCTGTCTCTCTGTCTGTCTGTCTATCATGTCTAGGCAGGAGGAGCTACTTAGTTGAGTAACTGATGGGCTTCTAGGGTATTCCAAAGTCTGAATACAATATTTCAGAACTTTGGTCCAACTTCTTAGCATCCATATGCCTGAGAAAATAGTTAAGTGGTCTTTCTACGTAAGAAATGAGGCAATTATTTGAGAGGCCAGCACAGCTGAACTTCACCTTGGGTCTATCATGAATCGCAGGGAAATGTTGAGTTTATTGGACACTACAGCCCTGCCTCTTGGCCTCAGACATGCCTGCCACCACAGGGAACCAGATGGCATGGGATTATTTACAGGTTCAAATTCAGCATTATACTTTTTACACTGATGCACACCATTTTCTCTATCTTTCCCAGAATCAACTTGTATGAGTTGATGAAGAATAACAGCTTTCAAGGCTTCAGTCTGTCAATAGTACGGCGCTTCACCTTTGCTGTTTTGAAATGCTTACAAATGCTTTATGTAGAGAAAATCATTCACTGTGATCTCAAGCCAGTGAGTATAATCTTGGTCTTGCCATGAAGGCTGGTCCCCACCCTCATTGTTGTTGTTATGTGCCATCGAGTCAGAACCGACTCATAGCGACCCCTCCTTGGGTTTCCAAGGAAGTATCGCTACAGAAGTAGATTGCCCAGCCTTCCTTCCAAGGAGTGGCTGGTGGGTTTGAACCGCCAACCTTCTGGATAGCAGTCAAGTCCCTTAGGCACTATGCCACCAGAGCTCCTACTGCTTATCCTATTCCATTCTCCAGGGCTAACTGGGCAGCCGCCATGGCCAGGATTTTCAAGGTAAAAGCCAAATCAGACATCCTTATATGCTTTGTAAGCCAAGTAAGGTGCTGTGAAGACTAAGGTACAAATACTGGGAAAGGGAAGAGAGAGACACTTGGTATAATTGAACAAGAACATTTGAGGGCTTCCTTGTAGAAGACCTGGGGATGTGTTGATGGCAGTGGGGGTGAAGGAGTATCTTGAGCATTGAGATGTGTAGTAAGAAGTCCTAGCAGTCTGGATTTACCCTTTCATAGTGAGAAAATCCTTTAGCATTTCTATCTGGGGACCTCAAGACCTGGTCTACTCTGCAGAGATGTGTGCCATGCAGGCAGGTGAATCACTCTACTCTTCTAAACCCATACTATATCCACTCTACTCTGATTGGTTCCAGGGTACAACAAATCTCTGACCAGTTTATCCTAAATGGATATGCCTTTCCTATGTATCTTGCTAGTATTCTAGTTGCCGTTTGTTCAAGTCAAACTCATGGCCATCCCATGTGTGCAGAATAGAACTGCTCCATAGAGTTTCTAAGGTTATGACATTCTGGAAGTAGATCACCAGGCCTGTCTTTCAAGGCACCCGGGTTGAACTGCCAATCTTTTGGCAAGTATTCAAGCACTTAACTATTTGTACCTCCAGGGACTCCTAATATTTTATACTTAACCCCTATTATTGTACTGATTGCTTTGTGTATTTATCTGTATCTAGTGGCTAAGACACTTGCCTGCTAACCAGACGGCTGGCGGTTCAAACCCACCAGCCACTCCTCGGAAGGAAGGTTGGGCAATCCTACTTCCGTAGTGATACTGCCTCGGAAACCCAAGGAGGGGTCGCTATGAGTCGGGGCCGACTCGACGACACATAACAACAACAACAACAACAACTCTGGAATACCCATGCTGTCGAGTCAGATCCGACCCATAGTGACCCCACTTTGGGTTTCCAAGGCAGTATCACTACGGAAGTAGATTGCCCAACCTTCCTTCAAACTCTCCCAAGGTCAGGAATGATGTCTTCTCATCATTAGATTCTTAGGACCTGACGTGTTACCTGATCGTGTTTATGGCAGGCAATAAGTACATGCTTGTTAAATGAGTTAATGTTTGCAAATGAGAGGGAAATATTGATCCTCAGAGATATGTAAATAGCCCTTAATTTTATTCACTCCCTTCTACCCAACTCCCAAATTATTTAGGAAAAAAAAAGTTTTAGAAACTAACTCATTGAGTAAATTTGGGATATTTTTATAACCAAGATTGTCAAGATAGGGATCTTCTCATGGGGCTGTATGGTAAAGGCTCACAACAGTAGTGGTACCCTGATAGTCTCCACATTCAAGTTCCTAATCCTCAACTTTGCAGCTCAAAGGGTCCCAGCACCCATATTCTTTGTGCTAACATTAAGCAAGCAAATTCACAAGATACTTGGCAGTCAAAATACCAGGTAGGAGATTGCCTTGAGAAATATAATGATTAAGTAGACTAGAATATGTAGGTCCCTCTAGGGAAGTATATATGGAAAGTCATGCAACCAGAAGAGGGTTTGGTGTGGATTCAAGAGTCAGGCTATTATTCTCATGGATTTATTGGTTAGTATTGATGAGCTGTGACTGATTGAATGCACCCACCTCCTCTGAACAGCTATTTCTGCCAGGATGTTGGGAAGACCAGCACCATCCAGTTAAAGAATCTTTCCTGTGGGCAGAGCTAGAGCCAGAGATGTACTGGAAGTTTTTGTTCATTGAAAGCCCTCTTTAAGACTTTTACTGATCAACCTCTTTCAGTTAACACAATCATTCTTTGGAAAAAGTGTTATGGACTCAGTTTGCATTTTCTTAGTTTTTAGTGTCAGAGGCTTCAGACCAGGCTTGTTGTGCCATATCTAGAATGTTAAGGTACTCAGTAAGTGATCATGTAGATGATATATCTGATGTTGAGACCCTTGAAAACACAATTAAAACTTTATTCTTCTACCCTAGCCAACACACTCTCTGACTCTGAAGGGAGAGCCCATAGTTCTGCCTTTCTTATCTATGACACTACTGAAATACCTGGAAACTTAGATTCTACATTCTGAATGCTTTCACATTTTCCCCAATGTCAGCATAAAAGTCACAAACCCCAATGAAATTGCTTTTTTTTTTTAGCTCCCTATCATCATAGCAGTATGCCAGCAGGAGTACTTAATGGAATATCAAAAAATTTTATTCAATGACATTTCTAAGGCCTTATGCTAGCAAGACATAGAACATAGAACCAAGTGCCAGGAAGATAAAAGCAAGCCCGTGCCTAAGGCATTTGACTGATAACCAGAAGGCTGGCAGTTCAAACCCACCAGCCACTCCTCAGAAGAAAGATTGGCCAATCTACTTCCATAGTGATACCGCTTCAGAAACCCAAGGAGGGGTCTCTATGAGTCGGATCCGACTCCACGGCAGTGAGTTTGGGTTTTCAGTTTTTTATAATCTTCATAGGGAAAGAGAGAAAATACATGTAAGAGAAACACTGCAAAGCAATAAATACTGGGTCCAAACAAAAGGAACAGGCCACAAATGGAGTTACAAATGAAGTTAGGAAGACTGAATTTGGAGATGTGGAAAGAGGCTACCTGGAAGTTGGTGCAACATTATTAAAACGTGACATCTGTCTGTCTTCTTCTCTCTAGGAGAATATAGTGCTATACCAAAAGGGCCAAGTCTCAGTTAAAGTTATTGACTTTGGATCAAGTTGTTATGAACACCAGAAAGGTAGGTCCCAATCCAGTCCCTTTGTCTGAATTTTCCTATGCATTTCTCTCCCTTACTGAAACAAATACTTCACATATGGAGTTATCTGTGTTCTAGTCTGGACTCAGCCATAAAAATTTGCTTCTCTAAAACTGTCTACTTTGGAGCTCTTTATCAACAAAATGGGGATAATATCACCTCCATAATAATCAGGTTGCTGTAAGAAAGTGATGAGATTAAATGTATAATGTGACTCTTAACTATTGGTCGGTTGTACTTGTGTCTCTGTAGAGCCAGTGGGATGAGAAGGTGTTGGGGTGCCTCATTTATCATCCACCCTCATCTAAGAAGTTATTCTGAAGAAGAGTGCTCTGGGGGAGGGGGAGGTTTTCCCATGTGAGATTTCTCTCTTTCCCCACCCTGCAGTATACACCTACATTCAAAGCCGGTTCTACCGATCCCCAGAGGTGATTCTGGGTCACCCCTACAATATGGCCATTGATATGTGGAGCCTGGGCTGCATCATGGCAGAGTTGTACACAGGCTACCCTCTGTTTCCTGGGGAGAATGAAGTGGAGCAGTTGGCCTGCATCATGGAGGTAAGGGGAGTGCCTGACTGTAGGGGTCTGAGATGTGCAGGACAGCTGAGTCTCTCAAATGTTGTACTGCATCAGACTAGGCTAGGGCAGTGGCCTACAATCTTTATTTTTTTGCTTGGACGTTTCCTAAAAAGAAATGATTTTGAAATTATATACCACCTTTCACATGGTTGAGTTTAGAGCTTACATTTTTATCATCAATTTAAATAGCTTCAAAAGGAACCCTGGTGGCTCAATGGTTAACCGCTTAGCTGCTAACTAACAAAAGGTTGGCATTTCTAACTCACCCAGAGGCTCCACAAGAGACCTGGCCATCTGTTCCCATAAAGATTACAGCATAAAAAACCTTATGGGGCAGTTCTTCTCTGTCATATGGGGTTACTATGAGTCAGAATCCACTTGACTGCATGCAACAACAACAAAAATTGTTGCCAAGGATGTAATTTCCAGCATATTGTAAATAATGTCACTTTAAAATCAACCTGTTATACCCCTCTTTAAAATATATTCAAAGAATCTAAAAACCATAGTGACATCACACACACCAAAATCCTCTGAAAAATAAGTGAACAAGTTCTTCTTTAACAGTTTTGTGTTTATTTTATGTGGTCTTTTTTTTTTTCCTCCTTGAACTCATATTTTCATTCTACTTCCTCCACGGAATTTTTTCCTAATTTAATATGATCTGAGCTCTGGTAGCGTAGTTCCTAAGGCACTCGACTGCTAACCAGAAGGCTGGCGGTTCAAACCCACCAGCCACTCCTCGGAAGGAAGGTTGGGCAATCTACTTCCATAGTGATACTGCCTCGGAAACCCAAGGAGAGGTCGCTATGAGTCGGGTCCGACTCGACAGCACATAACAACAACAACATGTTTTGAAAGCTTTTGTCGGTCACTATATCTTTAATTTTCTTTACGGTTGCCATAAGCTCCATGTGTTCAAAAAAAGTTTGTGAGTTATCTTTAAAATGTCATTAGTGCATATAATTTGATAATTATTAAGCACAAAATGTTTGATTTTATTGGGCATAGAGCTCTTAGAGAAATAGTTGGAACTAGATTTTCTCTTTTTCCAATTAATTCCTGTACCTGTACCTGTACTTGTACCTGTACCTGAAAAGGCTCAGGATTGATTGCACACCAGTGTTTTGGGTGTACGGACGTGATCCCTGGAAGGAAGCCTGCTCTAGTCATGTTGCCTAATTCTTTGACTCTTTTCAACTTATGTTAAAACCAAATAGTGATCAGCCATCAGAAAATTTTTTAACAACCAGCTAGTCGATAAACTGATTTCAATTTGGTTGAAAACAAAGAATTAAAAATTACTTGACTTATAAAAATATATTTATTGTTCAGTCATTACTCATTCACTATCTTAACTCAGAGGATGATAGTCATGGCTGCTCAAAAAAACTTAACCAAGACTCATCATATGAGCTGTAATTAAATCTATTACTCTTTTACCTAGTATCATCTTGTTATGGAGCTACCTTAGACAAAATGGGGAAATAACCCTAAAATTTTAGAAATTTCAAATTTTAGGATTTTTCCCAATGAACAAAGATATTTTGACTGTGAACAAAGATCTGTCTTTCCATGCCAAATAGCTCTTTTGTAGTTTATCTCAAAATTACAGATAGTCAGAGAATTTGAGAATCATTAAATACACCCATGGCTCATTTATCGACATCTTGTTATCTGACATTTTGCATTTAAGAGAATAGTAAAAAATCCACTGTTTGACTATTTTGTGCATTAATGATACATGTCTACATCTGGCAGTATCAAACACCAAGGTGTAAGGTGAGATTAACATTGACTGTTATGGTTAAGGTTGTGTCAACTTGGCTGGGCCATGTTGCTCAGTGGTTTGTAGCTATGTAATGATATAATTAGGAGCTCTGCTAGCATAGTGCCTAAGGCATGTGACTGCTAACCAGAAGGGTGGTGGTTCAAACCCACCAGCCACTCCTTGGAAGGAAGGTTGGGCAATCTACTTCCGTAGTGATACTGCCTTGGAAACCCAAGGAGGGGTTGCTGTGAGTCAGATTTGACTCAATGGCAGTGAGAATGATATAATTTGGTAGTTATGCAATGATGTAGTCATCCTCCTTTCTGTGATCTGATGTGATCATCCTCCATTTTTGCATAATGCCAATTTTCGCATAATGACCTGTTCTTTGGAACATAACCATGTCAATAAGTGAGGAGTAGGTCTATAGGTAATTTCATTTCCTAGATAAAACTAATAATAAAATATTAACATGATTTTGGTAATATCTATAAATGGTATTTACTGTGGAATGAGTACTGGCCTGGGAATCACTATACCTGGGCACTAGCCCTGCCTCTACCTCTTTGGCAAGTGATTTCCTCTCTCTGGACCTCTGTAAAATGAGGGGATCAGAGATGGCTTCTAAGGTTGATACTGGATAATTTTATGGTATATCCCTGAACTATTCTCACTTCCAATACCAATGAGAATGGGGAGTATAGGATCTGGGTCTATATTCCTACTACCCCAGGACTGGCTCAGTTTCCTCTTGACCTTCAGTGTCAATGGGACTGAAGAGCAGTAGGGTCAGGTCATGCACAGATTATGGCTGGGATTCCAGCCACAAGGAGAGGTGATCCACAACTAAGGGTGACTCTGTAATTTATCTTTCTGCACCCCTATAGGTGGTGGTAAGGAGCTCTGGTGACGCAGTGCCTAAGGCATTTATTTGACTGCTAACCAGAAAGTTGGTGGTTCAAACCCACCAGCCACTATGTGGAAGGATGATGGGGCAATCTACTTCCATAAAGTTTACTACCATGGAAACCCAATGGGGGTCACTATAAGTCAGAATCAGCTTGATGGCAGTGGTTATAGCTGGTAGTGGGGAAAGGTGAACAAGTAGGTGCTATGCTTTTCTCAAAAAGATATCTTGTCTTATAGTCTGAGGTCCATCTGGTGATTCCATCTCCTTTTCCTTTCCTTCTTTCCCAGTGCTCCATACTAAGGTATGTCATTCTAAATTCAGGTGTAGCACACTGGTTTATTTGCTCTGACAATGACATCTGACTGCCACCAAAAGAGATCTGCTTCCAGTTGGTGCTGATATCTAGTTAGAATAACATAACCAGTGTTGGTTCTCAAGATACTGAAGTGACCCTGGATTAGGAATTTAGAGACTAGGCTCTGGGCCTGTTCTGCCACTGACTTAATGTTATCACTTAATATCCCAAGTCCTTATTTGTAGAAGGCAAAGTTTAACCAAAGTCCCACCCAACTCTAACAGTCTTTGAATCTGTGACTCCACAAAGAATGAACCAACTGCATTGTACTTGTTGAAGGTGCTGGGCCTGCCGCCAGCCCACTTCATTCAGACGGCTTCCAGGAGACAGACATTCTTTGGTAAGTCCTCTGGTCTTTCTTTTTTTCCATAGAGTTTTATGAGGTGTCAGAGGCCTTGGAGACACCTCCCATACCCTAAAACCCATTTTGTGGTATTCCCCATGTCCCATCTTGAAGGGCAAGCTATGATTAGGAGCATCTTTCAGAAAAGTTAAGAAATGCTGAGAAGTGGTACTACGTGGTATGATGGAGAATAGGGTGAGGTAGGGAGGGGTGTGGGGAGTCATGTTGAGGATGGGAGTCTTAGCAGTGACAATATACAGGATTAGGAGGAAAAACTAGGTTCCTGCTCTGAAGATCTATTAGCAAATCGTTTTTTGTTTTTTTTTTTAAACTGTTTACACTACCCAGATATAACATAGTTGGCTTTTTTTTTTTTTTTTTTTTTAAATTGTGATTTGGGTGAAAATTTACAGAGCAAATTCACTTTCCATACAGCAGTTCATATACACTTTGTCTTATGACATTGACCATAATTTACCACAATGCAACAACTCCCCTCCCACTTCCTCCCGACAGTCACCTCTTCCCTGTGTCCATCCCTCCATGAACCCCTGCCCCTGAGCTGTCTCCCTGTACATAAACAGCCCTTCTTTCTCCCATGACGATTCTCTCCAAAGAGTGTATCTACCTCAGATACATGTTCAATTCATATGCCTGTCTTTTGTTTGGCTGGAAGCCATAGGTGTGGGTTCAATTCCAGACCTGAAGGGCAACTAGGGGCCATAGTCTCAGTGGTTCCACTAGGCTCTATAAGACCAGCAAACCTGGTCCCCGCCTTTTTTTTTCCAAATAATTTTGAGTTTTGTTCCACATTGTTCTCCTTCTCTATCCAGGATGAAGACTTATTAGCAAATCTTAAAATCTCAAAAGATTATAATGATACCTTCTCCTGGAAGCTCCCCCCCTCTCCCAATCAACTTGCTCTCTCACATTATTACAGCTTCACTTCAATGTACAGAAAAATCAAAGAGCAGAAGCTTCTTTTCAAGAATATTGGATAAGTCCATTGCTATATTCTATCATTAATGGACCATATTCTTCCCTATTGAAAATCTCTTGATCCCCCAAACCTTTATCATCTGAATTCACTGCAACTTTGGCATAAATTAGGGCACTGTGCACCAGAAAGATGAACTGGTTGCTTTAGAACAGTGCCTACACACTTACCTTTCTCCCAGATAAGTCTGATTATAGACAGGGGACTTGGCTAAGTCTCTGTCATAATGTATACATGGAACAATGGGAATGGCCTCTGGACCCTAAATAGATTTTTCCCTCCCACCATTTACAATTCAGCCTTTTGGGTTTTGAAGGATTTTAGGGAAGGAATGTGGGGATATTATTGTTCCCTTTTGCTAGACAATGACAGTGGAGAAGTCACATCTGAAGACATCTTAAAATGAAATAGCATCTAGATGAGTGCTAGAAGGGAGGGAAAGAGGGCAGCTTGGTAGGAGAGTACCAAAGACATATGCATGCCTACTTCATAGAGTACTCAATTTCTAACGTCAGCACTAGGCTTTGCACAATGATGTGGTTTAGGTAGCAATATCTACATGTCTTCAATTCCTGAGTGAGGAGGGACTGTATAGGGAGCTGCTTCCTCTTTAGTGTTTCCCAAACTTTATCAGATCTTAAGAATTGTTTGAACACTTTGTTGTTGTTGTTGTTGTTAGGTGTTGAGTCTCTCTCAACTTATACCAAACCCATATGACAGAGTAGAGCTGCCCTATAGGGTTTTCTAGGCTATAATCTTCATAAAAGTAGATTGCCAGGTCTGTCTCTTGACACACAGGGTGGGTTCAAACCAACTTTTAGGTTAACAAGCAAGTGCTTAAGCACTGTTCCACCAAGATACTTGGAAAAACCATTGTGCCCAGGCTCCTCCTCTATAACTATGATATAGTAGATTTGGAGTGGGACTCAAGATTCTGTTTTTAACATCACATCCTTGTGATTCTTCTGATAAAGTGAATTTGGGAAACACTATGTCTAGTTCAGTACTTGGCTTTCTCTTCCTCAGGTATGGGCCCTGCCAACTACTCCTCAGGCTCCAGCCTAGACTAGTTAATACTCCTAATTAGTAGCAAAGTGCTGTTGCCCTCAGATGGTAAGATACTTAAGTACCCTAGACAGCAAGGTGGTGGAGAACAAAATTAGATATTGGCAGGGGTCAGAGAGGTGAGAAAAACTTGTACAGGACAAATACAATGATAGGTTTAGAGGCTATATTATTTATAAGACTGTGTGCTTGATTCTTCTGTGGCCATTTGTAAAACAAGAACATGGGGCAAAGTGGGAGCACTGGGGACACAATCAAAAAGGAAATGAAGATTTTTATGAGTTCACAGTTTCTTTACCTACACAAAACCCCCAACCCATTTTTTATGTATATAAACACTCAGATACCTGTGTGTGTACGTACAAACATGCACATTCATGGAAGCCTGTCTTTCAGGAATACAGTAAAAGCAGGTGCTCTTTGGGAGGCTGTGCAATGGCATGGTTACAAAAGTAGTAGAAGCACTCCATTGTGCACTTTCTAGACTGTCCATTAAAGAATCTCACTAAATGAGTTTTTGTGGGAATTCAGCTTCATATGTAAATTGTGTTTATACATTCTCATCCATATGCATGCAGATTTACAAGGTGTGAGCATAGAGTGACCAACTTTTCTGAACATGCACACTACAAGCTAGACATCCAGATGAGTGGTATCACCTTCAGAGCAATGTGGAAAGCATCCCTGGGAGCCTTTGGTACGGTCTTCAGGGCTTCTCAGGGATAGCAAATCATACATTTGTGAGGGATTTAATCTGTGTGAATGGCTGAAAGCCATTCAAAGCCACATCTTAAGCAAGCATCGAAGTTTGATCATTCCAATTATGGACAAAATTTTGGTGTGACTATAAAGATGTAATGAAGTTAATTTGCTTTTGTGGCTTATAAGCTCTAAAAGCAAATCCTTATACTAAAATGGATTTCTTGTTATACCCTGTAAATGTCCTAAATTCTCACTTAATTGGGCTAATGGGGAAAGAGTAAGGACATAGGTAATATAAAAATGGACAGTATCCTTTTTGATTAGCACTGAATGCTTTTGTCACTTCAGATTTATTTTTTTACTATTACTATTCTCCTTGCTAGGAGCTCTGGTAGTGTAGTGCCTAAGGCAATTGACCCCTAACCAGAAGGTTGACTGTTGAAACCCAGTAGCCACTCCTCGGAAGGAAGGTTGGGCAATCTACTTCCGTAATGATACTGCTTCGGAAACCCAAGGAGGGGTCACTACGAGTCGGGTCTGACTCGATGGTACATAACAACAACATTCTTGCTGCTGCTGCTGCTACTACTATTTACTTAATGCTAAGCCATTTTAACCATCTGGTTGGGAAAGGTGGTAGTGGAAACGAGGTTCAAAACGTATTGGATAGTAGGAAAAATTGGTTTTTAAGTTAATTGTATTCATTGCCTAATCTACACGCGGTTGTTAAAACTGTCTGAGACTGTGTGTATGCTTGTAGAGGGGGGTGTAAGACACAGAGCCAGACAGCTGCCAAAGACCACTCCAAGAAGCAGCAGGGTTGAGTGAACAGCTATGATGTGACCTGTGAATATTTACACCTGGAACTAAATACAGAATGTTGTATCTCTAAAGATTCCAAAGGTTTTCCTAAAAATATAACCAACAACAGGGGGAAAAAAAGATACCCGGACTCCAAGGATCTCACAATGGTGCTGAAAACCTACGACACCAGCTTCCTTGACTTTCTCAGAAGGTGTTTGGTGTGAGTTTGTTGGGTTATTTTTGCCCCTGGGCTTCTTCTTAAATACTGTCCTTTCACATATGTTTGCTGGTGAAGGCTGGGGCTGGGAGACAATTATAAAAATACAGTAAATCACCTTGATTAAGGAATTAGGAATGGGTGAGCTATAAAACATTATGATATACAACTATTTTTTAGAATCTATATGCATATTTTGAGTCTTAGAAATTAGGTTCTTTACCTTAGTCAAGTCATAGTAAAAATGGAACTAGCATATAAAGCCCCGCCCACCAGTGCTCACCTTTGAAGGTGTTTAGAAAATGTTAGCTATTGTTACTATTTTACTGTTAAAGAGGTTTTGCAAGCCTATCTCCACTGAGTGACCCAGGAGAGTAGTGGAGGGTTATTTAGCAAGTCATTGTTCCTCTCTGGGCTCAGAACAAAGATAGCTTTTTTTTTTTTTTTTTTTTTTTAGGGTGAAGGACTTGTTCACACCTCCCAGGAGGCAGTTGAGCTGATGGGGCCTGTACCTTATCATTTGATATGTTGCTAATTAGCTAATGTTTGGGATGAAAGACTGAATGTTGTGAGTCAAATGTAATAAGGTATATGGAAAATCCTGTGTCTAGGTTTTATAGACCAATTCTAGAAGTTCAGGAGAGGGGAGATGTAGCTTAACAGCTGTTCATTTGACAAAGAACTAGGAGCTTGTATTGTTTATAACCTTGATGCGTCTATAATGTTAAATGCCATTTACCTGCAGTTATAATAGGAGATATCCCCAGTATGATGGACACCAGTTAGGCAACAGTTGACATTTCCTATTTCGGAAGGTGGAAATCCTTTCATGTGATTAATAGTCAGTAGTGTTGTGAATGTCTTTAGATAGCTGAAGGACTGTGACATAAAAGAAGGATTAGTTGTCTTATTCGGTGTAATGCCCATATGTTCACACTGGGTAAAAGTCACTAGGGTAAAAATGACTGGGGAATGAGTTTTGGCTCAATAAATATAAAGAACTATTAAAGAATTAGGGCTTTTTAAAATCAGAGTAGGTGGCTCCCTGAGATAGTGCCTTGTCACCAAAATTACTCAAAATGGCAGGATGATTCCATTAGGGGTCTGTCAGATGTGTGTTGTTTTAGCAGTTTAGCTGGATTATACCCAAGTCCCATTAGAAATCTTAATATTCTAGCATTTTCTAATTCTCTTTGTGATATATTTGGAGGCCCAAATTCCATAGTATGGGATTTTGCCCTTAGTTTACTGACCCCTAAGGAGTTTTTCAGCTATGCATAGGGTCACTATGAGTCACGGATGACTTAATGGTACCTGACAACAACAAGGGAAGATTTTCTCTAATATTTATTATAAGAGAGTTTTTAGGAATTCTGGAAGACTCGTGCTCTTCTATATCCTGGCTTGGCATTCGATTTTTCTATAAAAAGATTATTTCAGTAGTTCTTTCCAGGTACAATTAAATTATATGTCATAATCTCCATGATATCTTTGAGTTACATCTTAAATGAAAAATACATGGGGTTCTTAAAAATGTTTTAATATTAAAAAAGAAACTAAAACAATAACCAGTGCTGGGCTTTGTTGGTGTGTAGATGGGAACCCTCTCTTCGCATGACCCCTGACCAGGCCCTCAAGCATGCGTGGATTCATGAGTCACGGAGCCTCAAACCCCGGTCCAGGCCTCAGACCCTGAGGAAGGCCAGTCTCAATTTCTCCTCAGAGGGAAAAAAGAACAAGGTTCAGGGGCACCACCACTCGGACAAAAAAGGTACAGTCCCAGGCCTATTGCCAAAGGCCAAGGCACCAGGCATCTCTGGAGGATTTACAAGCCAATTTCTCTGAAGTCAACCTTAGATAATTATTTGGACTACATGACTGTAGGCTGCCACTTCTCTGCCTTTTAGGACTTTCCTCCTTCAGGACTTTTGGCTCCATCCGGGTTCTCCTGTCTCTTTTTGTCCTTAGGACTTTGAATTTACTCCTATTTTTTATTTCTCTAAGGAGCCCTGGTGGTATAGTGGTTAAGCACACAGCTGCTAACTAAAAAGTCAGCGTTTCAAATCCACTAACTACTCTGTGGGAGAAAGATGTGGCAATCTGCTTCTGTAAAGATTACAGCCTTAGAAACCCTATGGAGTAGTTCTACTCTGTCCAATTGGGTCACTACGAGTTAGAATCAATTCGATGGCAATGGGTTTGGGGTTTGGTTTTTTAATCCCCTTTCTCTTCTTTCCCTTCTCGTTCACTGTGCCCAAATCTGCATACCCTTTTGAATTTTTTGAGTCCTTTAGAATTTTTATCAAAAACAGATTACATAATTCTGCAAATATATTTTATATGCAATATAGCCTAGTTGTTAAGTATATGGTTGGTGGAGTCAGGCTGCCTGGGATTAAATTTTGGCTGTACCACTTATCAGATGTGGGCCCTGGGGAATTTAATGTAGCATAGTGCCTAAGGCATTTGACTTCTGGTTAGCAGGCTGGTGGTTCAAACCCACCAGCCACTCCTTGGAAGGAAGATGGGGCAATCTACTTCCTTAGTGATACTGCCCCGGAAACCCAAGGAGGGGTCGCTATGAGTTGGGTCTGACTCAACAGCACATAACAACAACATGTCTTAATTTGTCCATTTATAAAAGTGAGAATATTCCCTAAAGCATCCTAAAGGAAAGGATCAAATGAATTAATACAATAATGCCTGTACATAGAATGGGTATTATGAATGATCGCTTTTTATATCACTAAATCATAGTGGTATCAACTGGATGACAACAGGTTTTAAGCAGCTCTGGTAGTGCAGTGCCTAAGGAATTTTACTGCTAACCAGAACTTGGCAGTTCAAACCCACCAGCCACTCTGTGGAAGGAAGATGGGGCAATCTACTTCCGTAAAGATTTACCGCCTTGGAAACCCAATGGGGTTCACTATGAGTCAGATTCGTCTCTATGGCAGTGAGTTTGGTTTGGAGTTTTTGATGGTGCAGTGGTTAAGCGCTTGGCTGCTAACCAAAAGGTCAGCAATTTGAACCTACCCAGTGGCTCCATGGGAGAAAGATGTGGCAGTCTGCTTCTGTAAAGAGCTGCAGTCTTGGAAACCCTAGGGGGCAGTTGGAATGGACTCAGTGGAAACTCAGTCAAGTTTTTGTATCCTCACTACCAGGAATTTCCCCAAAGCCCTTTACTGCCTAATTGACAATGTAGCTCATATTCGAATGCAACTTGTTTGTTTCTTTTCTCTCTCTCCTTGGGCAGACGAAGCCACCAAAGAAGAGTTTGTAAACAAAATAAGAGATGTAGGCACTTTGAAGACCATTCAGAACACCGGTGATCAGCCAGGCTCTCTCCAGCAGTGGGCTGACACAGTGCAGCTGCCCCATCTAACAGAGGCTCCCAAAAAGCCGGAAGCAGTTGTTGGGTCAGAGCAGTCTCTGCCCTCCACAGGAGATCAAAGCAAGAATTCCTCCCCCAAGAACACTAACATTTTACCACCTATTGTATGACCTTTGCTGAGGGTGTATCCTGGTCCTTACCACCAATGATTTGTATTAGAGACAGCACTTATATTGTACAATACTTCAAATTGTTGTTTTTTAATGCATAAAAGTTTGTTTCTTTTTTTAAAAAACTATTCACATGGCCAATTAACATGATTCCTCTTATGAGGGGTGGGGGAGAATGTCCTTGCACCTCCATTCCTTCCCTTTTCCCCCAACCAGATAAAACAGTGAGTGGTTTTTATATTCAAACAATGTTAAACAATACCAAAACCAAACTCACTGCCATGGAGTGCATTCTGACTCATAGCAACCCCCTTTGGGTTTCTGAGGCAGTAAATCTTTACGGAAGTAGACTGTCTAGTCTTCCTTCTGCCAAACAATGTTATAACTAGTTTAATGGTTTTAAAAAATGGTTTTTATTCTCAATGTTATAGCATCCTTAATGGAGCTCTAAATAAAATAAGGGAGCTCTGGTAGCATAGTGGCTAAGACACATGCCTGCTAACCAGAAAAGAAGGTTGGGCAATCCTACTTCCGTAGTGATACTGCCTCGGAAACCCAAGGAGGGGTCACTATGAGTTGGGTTTGACTCGACGGCACATAACAACAACAACAAAAAAAATAAATTTTCCTTCTCAAGACTGCCACCCTTTGTCAGTCAGGATTCTTGTTTGAAAATGACCGAAGTTGAACTCAAACTAGTTTAACCAACAAAGGACATTTATTGCTTTATATAATTGGAAAAACAGCTCTGGTGGCATAGTGGTTAAAGCATTCAGCTGCTAACTAAAAGATCAACAGTTCAAACTTACCAGTCGCTCTGTGGGAGGAAGACAAGGCAGTCTGCTTCCATAAAGATTTACAGCCTTGTAAGCCCTACTGGAAGTTCTACTTTGTCCAAAAGGGTCACTATGAGTCAAAATCAACTAAATGGCAGTGGGTTTATAATTGGAAAATCAGGAGGGGTGGATAGAGTTTCAGGCACAGCAAGATCTAGTAATTCAAACAAGGTTTTAGAGTTCAGACTCCTTTTCCGTCTACTAGCTTTGCTTCTCTTTATGGTTAAGTTCATTTGGAACATGGCTTTTCCCAGAATGGATGGCCGCCAACATCCAGTCAAAAGATGCAGACTTCCTTGCAGGCAGAAAAGTCCCAGATATTACCGTTTGGCTTAGGCACAGATCATATGCCTGTAACTGAACCAATCACTGTGTCTGAGAGACTGGGATCATCTGATTGGCCAGCTTGGGCCACAAGCTCATATTGTGGTGAAGGTGGTGGCTGCACCACGAATGATGCCCCTCTAGGACCACATGGAGCAGGGGAGGGATGCTTTAAGCAAGAAGGCTATGTTCACTTGTCCACCTCTTCCCCCAAATCTAACCATTTCATTTATTCATTCCCTTCCAATCTTTTTTGATAAGTTATAATTTGTAAATTATGAAGATATAATTTATATGATTGCAGACATTGTATGCACTTTGACATGAAACTTAAGATTATGACATCATAAACAACATGGGAAATATACTTGCCTTCATGGTTTTCATTTTAGTGGTTGAATATATTCCATTAAGGGAGACACTAGATAACTGAAGCTATGCGATTGGATGAGATCACCCAGGGATGATTATATAGAGTGAGACTCGCAGAAACCAACAGAAAATTCTGGGAAAGATAAATATGAAAGGGGTTGATTGGGTAGACAGCCCTCCCAAAGGGACCCAGAGAAGTAGGAGGAGAATTGGAAGCCAAAGAAGTAGAAAGTTTCCAGAAAGGAAAAAAAAAGAAAGTCAAGAATACAAAACTCCACAGAAAGATCAGGATAAGAATGGAAACTTTCTTAAGTGACTGATATGGACATTAAGTCAGGGCAGGTGACATGTCAGGTGACTTGTCCAAAGTCCTAAAGTTAAAAAGGTACAACACTGGCAATAGAACTCAGGTCTTCTGAACCTTTTTATTTTGACACCAACTATCTTCAACCATCAGAAGAAAGATGAGGCAGTCTGCTTCCATAAAAATTTTACAGTCTTGGAAACCCAATGGGGGTCGCTATGAGTCAGAATTGACTCAATGGCAGTGAGTTTGAAGTTTGGATCTTCAACCATGGATAAAATTGGGGATGGACAGTAGTTCTGCAGATCCACAGAGTTTGGACAAGAAACCAAATCCTCAACATCATGATGAGAATGATTTAGGTTCAATGTTATAAAGCACTTTCTGATTTTTATAGTTATAAAAGGCTGAAATGAATTATTGATAAATGGTGGCTTCTTGTTTTGAGAGAATACGTTAAAGGATGGGAGCTGCAAACTATAGTCTGAATGACTTTGGACAGCACGTCTCAGTCCAGCACTATTTTACCTCTACTCTCCATTTGATTGTCTTTTCCTTTCTGAGGGGGAAAAAAACCTATTGGACAATATGGTAAATCCTAAGGAAATCAAGGGTACATCTTAAGGAAACTAAACATCTTGAGCCCTTTAATTGTAATTTTTTAATTTTATGTCCTTGCTTGCATGGACAGGAAAATCTGCAAAATCCAGATAGCATAAGATGACATTTCTTTCACGTGAATGGTATGAAGATAATGTTAGGGCTCTGAGGATATGGAAAGGGAAGCTGTGGGGGTGAGGAGAATGGAGGGAGGGATCAAGGGCTGGGCCCACTGCTGGGAAAGGGGATGCAGTGAGTGGGTGCTGGTTACAGGTTCACCATCAGCCAGTCCAGCAGCTGCAGCCGTGTCACATTTCCCACTGCCTCGTCCAGCTGTCGCTCCTTCTCATAGCGCAGTACTGACTGCAGAACCTCCCCCACGCTACGCCCTTTGTCCACAGCGGTAGCTGAAAGCTGAAGTAGCTGTGGAGAGGGAAGAAAACAGCAGCAGAGGGGATGAGCATTCCACAGCTGACCACAAAGAGCCTGCTAAGATTAAAACAAAGAGGCCAGGTAGACCCTGGAGAACTGCAACAGGAGGGACTCAGATGTTGGGAAGACTTCTTTAACTGTCATGTTTGCTGCCTTATTTGACATGAGAAAGTTGGCAATATCACCCTCAATGTAAAGAAAAGATGTTAACACCCACCTGCCTGTGATATGGAGAATATGATTTCCCATTAAGACCAAAGTCGAAATGTTTTTGCCTATACTACTCTGCTTCCAGTGAGTGTACAGCCAATGGCTTCCTGAGAATTCTAGAGTACTGAACTCACCATGCGCTCATAAAACAGCTTCCATATATCATTTTCCTATGACCTACAAGGGCAAGAGAAAATAACCAATGGAAAAAGTGGGTGCAGCTTTCCATACCCCATAGACCACAGTGTCTAGAAGGCACCACAGAGGTCAATTCAACCTGAAAATGTCACCCAAGAGAAGTAAAGAGACTTATCAGGAGTGCACTGCTGGTAATTAGCAGAGCCAAAATCCACACCCAGTTCTCTGAATCCCATGTTCAATTCCCTTCCTATGCATGTAGTAATGAAGAAAGTAACCAAAGCAGCCATTCTAATATGAACATAATACATTACCATTCATCTGTGATCCTAAGGGCAACTAGCTGTTTCAAGTAATCAGACATTATTTTGTGCATTTTGCTCTTGACTTTTTATGAGAGAGTCAGATTGCTTACAAACATGTCAAATATCAGGAAAATTTCTGTATAAGAAACTGTGTGTATATGCCTATACACCTGGACACTTTCCTAATGTATCACGGAATTTATATATAGACCATGTCTGAGGGTCAGTACATATTCAGACCAATTTCTTCTATTTTCCAAGTTTATTGTTCTGCCTAAGAAGAACTAATATCATTAGGGTAATATCCAAATACTTTAAGATGCTGGCTTATTGGCTGAGTCTGGTTTTGTTGTTAATTATGTTTTAATGTAACTAAATTCTTTGAAAATTGGCAATATCCCTATCGTATAGCCAAGTATTCAACTGCGAAGCTGTAATGACAGGACACTGAACACATGTTAGGTTAACTGTGTGGGATGTTGCTAAGGCTATCCTATTGAGGCAGCCAAGATTGGGACAAGGAGCACTGGAGGGTAGGAGAAACTCCAGTCTTTCTAGGTCTAGCTCTCTTGGGAATGGACTTCAAAGTGTCTAGACATGCCTGAAGGTACTCCTGGATATTAGGGAAAGACCAGCCTCTGCACATGGGAATGCCAAGAAGCCAGGAAGAAAAGCTCTCTATTGGAAAACCAAAACTGCAGATAAAGGTTAAGCCATGCAAACCAAATTATCAGGATGTTTCTCTTTCTTTTTCCAACTATTGTCACTACAGGTAGGGAAACCTATTGGGTTATTTTAAAATATTAAATCCAGGATCTTTAAGTTAAACTTTTAAGCTTAGCAATGGAGGGATACTCTTCATGTGAAGAGATGGGTGCCTGAAACTCAGAGTCCTGGATCTTACCCACTGATTTTCATCTGCTCTCACAACTTATCTCTGCCCCACCCCTGACCTGGTCTAGGTATGTACCTCTCTTTTTAGTTCTCTGGGCCCAAGTATGTGTTTACTATCCTTACTTCAATTCTACATAGCTCAGATAAGACCAATAAAAATAGATAAACACAAATTTATTAGTAAAAATTGAAGGAAGAGTTATTTAGTCTACCATTGGCAACAATACACTTATACAGCTCATCAAAAATACATGAGAAATACATAAGACAAAAGTGAATCTCAGGGGCAAAAATCAGAAATGTGAGCTTTGATTCTCTTTCCTAAGTTGAGGATTCCCCTTATTGACCAGCCTTGTGGTGGTTTGATAGGGAGTCACAGTTTATTTTCCATACCTCATTTATTATTTACTATTAACCTATTGTCATATTATTAAAATACCCCAGTCTCTAAACCTTCTGAATATTGAAAATACCACCACTGACAGAAGAACAAAAAATCTGTCTTGTAAGAAGAACAGCCAAATGCTCTTTAGAAGCAAGAATGGCCAAATTTTGTATCATGGACTTTGGTCATGTTATCAGAAGGGACCAGACCCTGGAGAAGGATATGTCTGGTAAAGGGGGAAAAGGGAAGACCCTCAACAAGATGGACTGACACACTGGCTATGACGATGGGCTCAAGCATAGCAAGGATTGTGAGGATGGTGCAGGACTGGGTAGTGTTTACAGGGTTGCTATGAGTCAGAACCGATTTGATGACAGCTAACAACAGCAACAAGCTTTTTGATATAATTTTTTGAAGGCTGCATCTCTCTGCATTTTTTCTAGGGAGAATCTCATTGTGTTAATCCTCTATCATTACCATCTTTATTCAGGAATAAATGGATATAATGAACATCAGAAACAAGCCCTAAGGTGTTCACAAGAGGAGGAAATACATGACGTCAACACCACAGACAGTGCTGTGTCACCAGGTGTATGAGATAATTCTTAGCACCATCTTTCTAGATCATCATCTCTTCTAGTTCCCTCTGCCCTCCACAGATGTCTCTGATACACTTCCATCATGTGCTTATGTCCACCTAGCCAAGGAGCATCCAAATTCTATGTCCTGGGATGGGCTTGGATAATAATAGCAGGTATATAGCATCTAATTATCAGAGAACTTTTACACATTACCCTCACAATGTGTGGAGAAGATGCAAGCCAATGAAATCTATTTCATAGATGAGACACAGATGAATGGTATGACATAACTTGGACTAGAGATGAGTTCTAAGGGGATCATGGAAAATGTTGCTATGTAACTCTCACTGGGTTTTTTGAGGAGGCAAGCCATAAACTGAGCTTTGAGAGACATGAATTGGAAGCTAGACTTCTCCTATTCCTATACCAGTTTCTTCCTTGTCCTTTCTTCTGGAATTTTAGGACTAGTTTAAATTCATTCTTCCACCTTCTTTGTTCAAATAAGGGATTGGGAATCTTTGAGTTATGCTACTAGATAAATGTAAAGACATGTCTTATTCATATTTATCTCAACTCATTTTTAGAATAAGACAGGATGAAATTGAATAAAATTTTTAAAATGTTGATATTTGAGACTTTTAGGTATACTCAGGACACATTGGTTGATCTCTTCACCTTGATGAAACCTCATTAAAATGATAATGAATAAAACATATATACCCTTGCACACACTGATTTATGAAAGCTGGGAGATGGATGGAGAAGGGATAACTGATTTAGCAGAGGATGCTCCTGCAATGTAAGTGTCCACAGAGAGGAATAACAATAAGAAGGGAGTGAATTCATCTTCCAGAATTTTGGAAAGGCCTGGGCCTTAGAGCCTTAGAGCCTTAGAGATACTGAGTCCTGGAGAAGATATAGTACATGCACTGAAAATGATCTCTCTCTCTCTCTCCCTCTCTGTTTGTGTTTAAAAGTCTAATCCTTAGAAGGATTAGAACTCTGGGTCTCCTCTCTTTCTGCACAGCTAGATTGTCTCACCCAAATTTTCCCCTAATTCAGATAAATGAGGCCTTATTTTCTGTAGAAATGGAAACTAAGAGGCTCTAGACTTGGGATCTAGGCACTGTAAGCAGGAGAGACCCAGAGAATCAAGGAGAGGGAGGGTTCCAGTAAAAGTGTGCATACTGAACAGAGGAATTCTCTAGCTCCCTGACCCTGTTCCCAGAGGAGTGGAATAGAACAGTGGAATAGCAGCTAAGTGTGTGCCACTTAGGTAAGACTGGAGAAACTAAATGGACCTAGACAAAAAATGATATTTGGGGATTATCCTATGAAAAAAGGTAGCTTGTTGACCTCAATCACCATACAGAATATCCTACCAGTTAATAAACCTCACTCTCCATATAACTTTTCCAAATAGCTTTTTTGGTACCTCACTCTTAAATATGAACAGTAGCTAAGAATTACCATATGGTAAAGAAAAAAAAGGGTATGAAACTAAAAAAACAAGAAAAGGCAATGCAGGTAACAGAAGAAAATATCAAAATAAAAAAAGTCTTACAGTATTATCTGGGGAAAAAAAAACCCTAGAGAACATGAAAACTTTATTGAAAATTAAAATTATTATAGCAAAAGAAAAAAAATCAAGTAGAGGGGTTGGAAGAAAAAGTCAATCAATTATTTTTTCTCAAAACTAAAACAAAAAGATAAACAGATGAAAAATAGAAAAACAGAGATTAAAATAAATAGAGGTTCAACCCAGGAGGACACACATTTCAGAAAGAGAAGTAAGAAGAACAGTAAGGGAACTATTATCAAAGAAATAATACAAAGAATATAGACCAGAACTGAATAGATCCACCCTTCATGGAGGAAACAGAAAAAGCCACCATACCAAAGCAGCTCATTTTGAAGGTTCAGAACTACAGGGATAAAGAAAAGATCATAAAAGTGTTGGGAGGGTAGTGGTAACCAGGTCACATACTAAGATTGGGAATCAGAATAACACAGGGTTTCTCACCAGCAACTTGAGAGCCCAAAAGACAGTGGGGCTTTGCCACCAATATTTCTTCAGAAAATTAAATTATCCTAGAACATGAAACACAACCAATCTATCACATTAGGGATATGAAGACTCAAAAATTGTAATTATTGCAAAATTTCACAGGAAGCTATTGGAGAATTATGCTTTATCAAACAAGGAGACAAACCAAGAAAGACAAAGAAATGTGATCCAGAAAATCATATTTAACACAGAACAGCCAATGGAATTCTCAGGATGAGGGCCAAGGAGAGTTCTTGGATGTATCAGTTGCTAGCAAATGTTCAGATATATCAAAATAGTTGCAATGGTTTTCTAATTGCCATGCAGAAAATCAGATAAAGGAAAAAAAAGGGCTAAACACTCATTTTTAGTCTACTCTGGGGAAAAAATCATATAGGTGAGGAAATTTTATTATACCACACTGTCTGGCT